GGCACAGATTGCCGGATTACGAAGCAACTTGGGAGCGCTAAATAGATATTCGCCATGGGTCGCATTGGAAGGTTCTCGTTTCCGACTTCAACAAGCATCAACGAGAAGTCAAGTCCGGGAGGATGTAGCGACGCACCAACGTCACAGCCAGCGATGGTCATGACGTTGGTACCTATGCGTCCTTTTTTCCGCAAATGTGCTACTACTTGTCTTTGCTGACTGCCAACTGTCTTCTTAAGTTGCCAATGAGCGGCCAGGCAGACACACGCCTGACCGGAAGGCAATCATCATGTTTGGACGAGTATTGCCAAACATGGAACCGCAATGACGATCATTATTTTTTTCATTTAAACTCACTATGAAGATTCTGACCCGGTTCAAATGAACCGTGGTTCACTACTATGCTACGCTACTTCCAGATTCGACTCAAGGACTACCTGGAATATAGTATAGTGAAACTCATATACTTACATAGGATACGAAGGGAATGCTAACAAGCACTTCCTCGTAGCCGACAAATAACTAATCATTTCAATTTCAATTTCACATTTACCATGTTTGAGGCACATCAGTAGCCTCCTGCGCCTTACCTTCGGGTCCCCATCGTTGGACTCTCGCCGCCCTCCTCCGCTTCGCTCCTCGCCACGCGACGCTTCCCTCGTCGCTGTTCCGCTGCGCCGTGCTCTCACCAGTCATCACAAAGATCCAGGTGATCGAAATAAGATTTTTAAAAACGTACCTGTACAATATCCACATCTGACCTTCGGCTAGCAACGACATCAGCAGTAGGTGAGCTTTACTTCTTGTAGACTGGTAGCTAAAGATTGACGCACTGCAGATTACTATGCGTAACATCATGATTACCAGAACTTTAATCGTATCGAGTTGATCTTCGATAAGATTGCTCGTCGAGACAACACAGTAATGTGAATTGTGTATATACTACCATTACTCTCTCGTAAAGACGAGGGGAGCCGACATGGTTGGTATAGCAGCTAACAAAGCGCAAAGGAACGCCCTGGTGTCTCAAGGACAGCATTGGTTTGCAGAAGGATGTCATAACATTTTGCATCGGTATTGTAAGTAATGAATGGAGGAAACGAGCGCTCTTTATGTTGAAGAGATTGTTAGCTATGATATTGACGGACACATTCTAGATTCTAGCCAACGCGTCACAATTCAGCAGGTGTCGAAGTACTTACGCCAGGTTTTAGACACAAATACTAGATCACGAATCATTGCGGGTGTCAAAGGGCTACGTTTCACCGTCACGAAATTCCCACTAGTTCTGAAAACGCTCTCGGATGGGACACTTGTTGCTACCGCTCCAAGTCATTTTTTCACGCAAGCTTACTGCTGGGGATGAGAGTTATGTGGACGAAACAGTGTTCATGATGAATGAATGTCGAGCGATTAAGCTGAATCTCTTTAACAATCGGTTTGGAGAACTACACAAAAGTGAACTAACGTATATATCGCTGCTCGACCCCAGCGTTGCGAAAAGGATGCCGCATTTGATATCAGCTGATATTTCGGGGGCGTGTGATGCCCTCGTTTGTGCTGCAGCTGAGCTGGCAGACAAAGAACGAGGAATTTCCATAATCCAGTACTACCGAATTCCTCGATGAGTTGGCCCCCTCAAATTTCACCGAAGAGTTGGCCCCCCCCACCCGGGTTTCCTATACTAAATGATGGGCAACGTTTGAAGAGACTTCCTCGATGAGCTGGCCCCCCCCCCACCCGATTAACGTCCAATCACAGACTTGCAGCCGACACTGGTAGGAAGAGCATGGTAAGAATCTTTATGGCAAATTTAGTATGTGCTGAAGCGTACGTCATTCGTTCGGGATCGCAAGCATGTCATGTAGGGTATTTACCCCGCCGGCTACTACGATTGAGCGCTGCATACGAAAACAAAATGACTACAGTCGTCGAGGACCTACGAAAGTCTGATAACAGCCAGAGACGCCGTCGATCTGAGCGCAACAAGGGGATTGTTCGTTGTTTGATGCTAACGGACGTGGAAGAGCATTTTAGAGCCTAACATGCAGCACTAAATCTGATAAATCTATCTCTTCGTCTTCTCCTTCTTCGCCAGGTACACTTTGCCCTTGCTGGTCGTCTTGATTGAGCCCACTATATGTCTGTTGTACTCCATAACCAATTGAAGCAAACGTTTTCACAATTGACTCACTTGAAATCGATTCCCACGAGTTGACAAGCCACGATATGATGTCTGCTCGGTCAGGTACAGGAACCTTTTCCTTGCCTCCTAGAGTATCCATTTTTCTTACTGCCCAGTCGCTATGCGTGCGCGAACCATCGAAACTTGCAATGGCTGGCGGCGAGCGCCCGCCAGAAGATCCGTGCAGTTTTAACCAATGATATGCATGTGTTGGAAGGGTCTTCATCGATGAGTTGGCCCCCTTTGCTGATGTACCACGGGGGGGCAACTCATCGAGGAATTCGGTAGTGTACTGGATTCTGAAAATCGGCGAGTTAATTCAGATTTGGATTTGAAAAACAGTACCGTAATATCAGTGGAAAGTGTCCCCCCCTCTCGTACCGACAAATCTAATGATCAGGATAAGCTCAAGGTGCTAATTATGGTTGAATCAAGAACTGTGTTGTTGTAGCTAGCTCTAATCTCTGTAAATGTATCTATCGACGACGTCGTCGTGCCAGAAAACATTTCCTACACAGTCGGCTAGCCACGATAAAGCCTTTAAAGCGGTAGTCAGCTCTTCTACGCTTCAATCCGGTCCTTTAGGGGCTTATTCCATGCTATGTCTGCTGGTTGACAGCAGTGCGTATATCCAGGGGGAATGCGTTGCAGAACGACATTTTTCTCAAGAGCAAATGCAACGACTTCAGGCGTCCAATGCGCATTGAAGTCGTCCCACATCAGCATCACAGGCTCATTAGCTGAGCTCTGTTCACCAAAACTAATGCTGCAAAATTGCAGGTCACAAGGACCAAATCACGACGCGCATGGTGCGCGTTTCAAACAGGTGAAGTGCGGCAGCTTTAAATGCAAAGGTCTCCGACATGAGCTTAAACTGCTTCTGCTTCCGCCCGCCTCGTTGCCACGGCACCCGCATTTTGGTCCTTAGTCTCTTCGCTGCTCTGCGGTAGTTCCAGTTATGCCGCACTGGCTTCAAGGGGGGGGCACTTGACAAAACACTGCAAATTCTACTTGGCCAAGATCCAATTCACGGCTGTGATTGGTCAATATAGGAGGTGACACTTGACACCGATACTACGGTACAGCCCCGGTAAGTTCGCGCCACGTAAAATCCAGTATACTGTTTAAGTACGCACATCTGCCTCTCAAATGTACTGCAAGAAGCTGAGCGAGCTTACATCTGAGAAACGTCAAATAGCGGCAAATTGGCTACGATAAAAACAGGAGTCAGATTTAGTTCCGGTTTTTCAGCGACAACGCATGGATAGAGCTACAGCTGCCGGAATGTGTAGGTTTACTCCTCTCATGGAAGGTGCCTACTCTGTTCAACACCTTGGTCCTCAAAATCAACACGGGCATATTCACGCTTGATAACTTGTTGCTCTTTCAGCTCGAGAATGCACATGCGGGAACTGGCAAGATGAAATGTTTCCGTGTATTCACGCTAATTGTGCAGCGATTCAGGAGAGTCCCCAACTCGTCTTATCATGCTTTAGACAAAATAAGCTAAGATCTACATTGACATCTGGAGATGTAAAGCCTCATTTTGGTTTTATCGAGATGCCGCCGCACAACAAGCGCAAAAAACACGTTAGGAACTTCAATCGAAAGGTAGACGGATCCTTCTACATCTCAAGATTTACAAAACCCTACGAAGAGCTCTACGATGCAGAACACCTCTACGCCAAGCGCTGTGTCATTAATTTAGCGTTTTTTCTGGTGCAATGGTTTGGTGATCGCATATTAACATGGGAGCCCGCCAACCCCCCCCCCCCCCCGTGGGGGGGGGAGTCGACTTGGAGTTAGAGACCATCGACTTCGTGTGGCTTTACCAACCAACAAGAGGAAGGCGGCGCAAAAGACTACCTACACGACGCAGCGAGCGCGTGCCGAATCAGGAGTAACGACTAGCTTAAGTTCGTAAAAATTAAAACACGAACTTAAAATGTACTGGAAACAGTATATTTTGATAGTAACATATTCTAAAGAATAGTGCACTAGTACTGGATTATGGAAATTTCTCGACAAAGAACGCAATACACCGTTTCGTCTGAGACCAAATTTGCATCAGCAAACACCGGCCCTTGCTGCAAGTAGTTATGAGACCTTAGATATGAGTGACTTGGGCCTGATGAAGATGAGCTAACACCGTCCGATGTGAACGCGGATTGTGATAAAGGGCTCAAGCAGTACTTGATGAACGTTAAGAAGTCCGTCGTAAGAAAACGAAGCCGCTCGAACGGTGGAGGGACCACGTGATAGCGCATCTGATCTTAAGTAGTGTGTATTTTTAAATCTTCAGCACTTGAAGCTTTTATGTTTGTTCCGTAATTATACGAAGTAAAGGCTTCTAGGTCCTTAAAAAAAATTCTTCATACCATATATATGGTATCACATGAACGGAATGGTTCGGCATAGCGTATTCGGTGACGCTTTTAAAAACCCGATGATATCCCAGCCCCCAGCTTTCATTTACCAGTTTCGGATAAATTGTTTGTGTAGCATTCCATAATAATAAAAAAGGCGTACGAAACTTACCAAAAAGCCAAAAAGCCACACCGTACCTGTTGGAGTAATGGGAATCGTCAAACCGACACAAGGATTACTCCATCGGTGACTCACTGAGAGCGTGATGTTGAAGAGTTTAGAAAAGGAAATGCGCCATGTGTGTTGATCTGACCTGGTAAAATGCATGGAATGCTTTCTGCTTCTAGAGAGAGCTTATAGTGCTCTCTAGAATAGCTATCTGGTAAACACTAACGACCATACTGCAAGTCGATGGATAATGATGACCTTGGATTTCCGACTGTTAAGACGGCTAGAAGACAAAAAAGTTAGATGATGAACGTCACGCTCGCTCCAGCTATTGAAAGGTCGAACCTGCGCTGGTGATTAAAAGTAGGAGCATGAGATTCACTTACCACTAAAATAACAGCATTTTATGACCTTGCCGGCGTGGATCTCGATCCACCCGCCCGTGAGTTATTCATATTTGACCCGTAGTTTGCTACAGCCAAACGACACGCTCGATGCATCAAAACTGTAATTCCCGCGGGAATTCTCGTCATCGGAAATGTCCCTTGTAATTCCATACCGCTTCACCGTTTTGCCACCATCCGGTCTCGCTGTTTTTGTGATGCCTGCGTGTTTGCGCAGATCTTATCCGAGAATGACACTTTAAAATACTAGCACTGAACCTGATAAATAGATCGATGTAGCTTACAAATACCTGATAATCATGTGGCATAGGAATGGTAGTGGCTATTCCCTCTGCTTTAGACTACACGCGGGCAGGACAGATTGTTCTGTTCGAGTTACCAGCCATCTAGTCTGAGCGCTGGGGCTGCTCGCAGTGGGCTGCCTTAGAGCTCACTCTTCAATTTCGACTAAGTCACTCCAGATCAAGCAAGCTACTCCAATTACGACCAAGATGATGTTCAGCAAGACGATCTATGCATTGTGTGCGGCAGCTGTGGCGTTCTCTGGTGGTACAGTGGATGCGACGACGGAGGCGGCGGAGACGTTTGGCTGGCTATTGCCGAAGAGCCACAACACTGACGGTGGCTACGGAGGTGCTAGTGTCGGCACAGACGGATATGAAGGCGCGTCCGCGGGGATAAGTGGATATGGCGGACTGTCTTTTCTAAAGGCACTTGGCGGTCTCAAGGCTGGTGCTGGTGGCTACGGCGCTACGGGAGTGGATCTCAACGCAAATGCTGGTCTCGGTGCACATGGTTACGGTAATGCCAACGCCGGCGCCGGTCTCGATGCTCGTGCCGGCATCAACGCGAACGCAGGCCTCAAGGCGAATGCTGAACTTCAGGCTGGTGCAGGTCTCAATACCGGGGCGGGTCTTGACGCCAATGCAGGATTGAAAGCGAACGCCGGACTCAACGCTGGTGCCGGCCTCAATGCTGGTGCTGGTCTCAAGGTTGGTGCTGGTCTCAATGCTGGTGCCGGTCTCAACGTTGGTGCTGGCCTCAACGCCGGTGCGGGTTTTGACGCCAATGCAGAATTGAAAGCGAACACCGGACTCAACGCTGGAGCCAGCCTTAATGCTGGTGCCGGTCTCAACGTTGGTGCTGGTCTCAATGCTGGTGCCGGACTCAACGTTGATGCTGGCCTCACCGCCGGTGCGGGTCTTAACGGCAATGCAGGATTGAAAGCGAACGCCGGACTCAACGCTGGTCCCGGACTCAACGCTGGTGCTGGTCTCAAGGCTGGTGCCGGTCTCAACGCTGGTGCTGGCCTCACCGCCGGTGCGGGTCTTAACGGCAATGCAGGATTGAAAGCGAACGCCGGACTCAACGCTGGTCCCGGACTCAACGCTGGTGCTGGTCTCAAGGCTGGTGCCGGTCTCAACGCTGGTGCTGGCCTCACCACCGGTGCGGGTCTTAACGGCAATGCAGGATTGAAAGTGAACGCCGGACTCAACGCTGGTGCCGGTCTCAAGGTTGGTTCTGGTCTCAATGCTGTTGCCGGTCTCAATGTTGGTGCTGTCCTCAACGCCGGTGCGGGTCTTAACGGCAATGCAGGATTGAAAGCGAACGCCGGACCCAGCGCTGGTGCTGGCCTCAGCGCTGGTGCTGGCCTCAACGCTGGTGCGGGTCTTAACGCCAATGCAGGATTGAAAGCGAACGCCGGACTCAGCGCTGGTGCTGGGCTCAATGCTGGTGCTGGTCTCAAGGCTGGCGCCGACCTCAATGCTGGTGCCGGTCTCAACGTTGGTACTGGTCTCAATGCTGGTGCCGGTCTCAACGTTGGTGCTAGGCTCAATGCTGGTGCCGGCCTCAATGCTGGTGCCGGTCTCAATGCTGGTGCCGGTCTCAACGTTGGTGCTGGCCTCAACGCCGGTGCGGGTCTTAACGCCAATGCAGAATTGAAAGCGAACACCGGACTCAACGCTGGTGCCGGACTCAACGCTGGTGCCGGACTCAACGCTGGTGCCGGCCTCAATGCTGGTGCCGGACTTAACGTCGGTGCTGGCCTCAACGCCGGTGCGGGTCTTAACGCCAATGCAGGATTGAAAGCGAATGCCGGAGTCAACGCTGGTGCCGGAGTCAACGCTGGTGCCGGCCTCAATGCTGGTGCCGGTCTCAAGGTTGGTGCAGGTCTCAATGCTGGTGCCGGACTCAACGCAGGTGCCAGCCTCAACGCTAATGCCGGGCCTCAGTTCTGGTGCCGGTCTCAACGCTGGTGCTAGTTTGAATACTGGTGCCGGCATAAGTGTGAAGAAGGGCACCAACACGGACAGCTACTCGAAGGGAACGAGTGCCATCGCTTCGTTAGCCCCAGAGAAGTCAGCTACCCAAGCTTCTCAGATGGCTACTCAGACGTTCACGAAGCCCAGCACCTACCGCCACCTGCGCGCGTAAACTCGGAATGAGGTTCATCCTTTCCAAGTCAGAAGAACGTCATCCATTACACTCGTCCGATGTGTCGAGACATTTACCGCTCCGTGCGATACCAGTCCAATGAATGCTTTGTAGTAGTCGTCATTTACGACTTTGAATGCTTTGTGAGTTCATGACGCCTTTTGTACGATCATTGTTCTTGTCACTAAATACCAGGTTTTGTAGTAGTCGTCATTTACGATTTTAAATGCTATGTGAGTTCATTACACCTTTATTGCTCCTGTCATTTGAGTGATTGCTTCCGTACCCGACATTAACCCCTCTAAGACAGCCTTCTGACAGGAGCTTATATATTCCATTATTATTGGGGCAAAGCCCTATAATGAAACGAATTAGTAAGACAACTACTCTTTTTACAGGAGTATTTACGAAGTATTAGAAAAGGGTTAGGGTAGACATACCGCCTAGTGACCATTTTTGGCGAAAAATACTTCGGCACCCCTCTTGTCCAGGTTTTATCACTCAGGTATTGTCCAGGTATACCGGCAGGTATTGTCCAGGTAGAGTTTTAACGGTTTAAATTACTCTCATTTTCTTCTTTTGATTCCTAGCCACCAGTTAGGGAGACACGTGGCAGCCCCCCCCCCCACGCCCCGAGGATGGCACGCACGAACAAGACTGCCCAGATCAAGGCGAATATGGCAGAGCATGAGCGTGTGGCCGAGGAAGCTCGTCAGGCTAACCTCGCTCTCTTGCGTGCGGTGCGTACGCACTCAGAGAGAGCACACGCCAGAGAAAGTATGGAGACATCTCGCCCTAGTCCAA